GCGTAGCAGGGACCTCAGCTGCCTGGGCTGAGGGAGGTCTCCTTTAGCTCATGCGGCTGGTTCCCTGTTGCGTTACGCCGGAGACCCGGGTTCGCGTGGAACCGCGATGGTCACATTAGGTTATGCTGCAAAAAAAAAGTTTAGATCATAGTACATACTGAAACTACAGGAAACAGTAGTAGAGCCTTAGTGTACAATCCATAGAATTATATGGTGTGTGAGAATATTACCAGCTACAGTACGTCATGAAACCCTCATTTGATGGTATTCACTAACATATTGTATGGCCAGGAAACATTATGAATGCACATTCAACCTCTTTTAGTGCAAACACCAGTCTCCTTATTGCAATGCACATTGTTGAGTTTGAAGCACTCAAAGTTACCAAAACAGTAAAAAACTTCACCCGTCATGAGGAATATCTGCCTGATGAACAGAGTTTGAGGTTTTATTAATGCTGAGCAATGATAAGCACTATTAAGAATGTACAGTATGGGCTTAAGATTGTGAATGTAAAGTTTACCCCATCTGCTGAAATGCTTTCTTTCAAATAAAAATGATAATTGAACTGTAAAGGGTTTTGGTGACCTTTAAACTTTCATTCTGTCCACAAAGCTCTAATGTCAACTCGATTCCTGATGAAAAGTGACATTAGTTTTTGCAGAGGAGTACCCAAAAATTGATTTGAGTCAAGCTCTTAACCACAAAGTCAGGCTAAGTTTGATTTAACCTGCCCTGGAGGAAGTTAAGAATATAATATTTCTATATTTATTTAATTGGATGCAAATCGATCTTGCTTCATCAAACTGAAAACCCAGACATTTGTCAACATCTTTACTGAAGTTATCTGGTTAACTGAGTAATCTCACTTAGTGAAACAGTCCCTTCTGAATTTTAGTGTGCTTGCACTGTTAGTCAGGTTGTTTAAGCACGGCTTGCTTTAACTGGACAAGTGAAACCAGAGTTTGTCATGAAATTGAAATAAGACTGAAGTTACTGTACTTCAATCTGGCTAATGTGAAAATATCTTGAACTACTGTAGATAAACCTGCTTCATGAAACAACCCCTAGGGCCATTTTTTCCCATAGCCAATTAACTCACCAAGCACCGGGAGAAAACCCACACTATCACAGTTAGAACATACTGTACAAACTCCATGCAGATAGCACCCCAGGTCCAGAATTGAACCCAGAGCCCCAGCACTGCAAGACAGCATTGTTAGCCACCGAGCTGGCCATGATGATTAGTGTTATCATTCAATGAGAAATGGGCATAAGGCTGGAAACAACCTGGGTGGGTTGCCAGTCCATTGCAGGGCAAATGTACTGTAGATACTAAGACCAGCAATTATTTTTCCAAAAGCCAATTAATCCACCTGTATGTCTTTTGAATGTGGGAAGAAACTGGAGGACCAAGAGGAAACCCACATATACACAGGGAGAATATACAAAAATAATAACACTATGGGTGTTCTTTCAAAGATAATGATGGATGCTGGTGGATGCTGCACATTGGTGGTGGTGGAGGGGAGTCCCCATTACCTGTAGAGCGCTTTTGAGTGGAGTGTTCAGAAAAGCGCTATATAAGTGTAAGCAATTATTATTATTATTATTATTAAGTGCTTTGCTCCATTTCCTGTATTATCTGGTATTATCAAGAATTCAGAGAGGTCTCTATACAGTACATCCTAACCAGAACTGATAATTGTGCAGTGGCCCCATAATGCTATTAAAAACAAACTGTTGCTCTCCAAAATTGTCTATGTTTTTGATGCCTGAGTAATATAAACATTAATAGCTAATACAAATGTACTTTGTGTAAAAATGAAGCATTATGAAGAAGCAATCACATGTGCTTTCCTTTGTAAAGAAAATAATGTCTAGCCCAGCAGTCTCCATGCCTGATTCTGAAAAGCTTCAGTCCTTCTGATTTCCTTTCAGATTTTCTCCTTCCGTATCCCAGTAACTGAAAGCTCATTTGGAATTACCAACTCCATTCTTCTCTGTTCTGCAATCTGCAATAAAAAAGATGAATACCTTATATTAGACCAATTGGACCACAGCTATTAAGAGGTAAGAAACTGAAATAAAAGGGACTAAAAAATAATTCCTGCAACATTTATATCTCACATTGTGTAGAATGAGGACTCCTCTTGATTGAAGTTATACTTTATCTATCATAAAAATGTTGATTACTGCGGCTTTTCAACCGTACTAGGAAAAAAATATAGATTGCCATAGAATCCTTCTTGCAGGTGTATTAAAAGGAAAAGTTGTTTTGTGAATGTAACCAATAATTTAGTTCAATAATCTCACATATGGGTAACACATCCTGTTCTTCATTAAAACTCTTTGTTAAAAATAGCTAACCAATAAAGTCTGCAGTCATATAGACAATTCCTTTGTTTTCACATGTCTTTTTGAAGGGATTTCATTGTCTGGGAAGTTGAGAGAAAGTGACGAATGGCTGGCCAATCAGTGTATTTGTTTTCATTGGATGAAAGAGACTAAGTAAACTGGCAGCTTGCTGTAATCACACATACAATCACCTTCATGAAATCAGTGGAAAACTCCTCCTCTGAGTATTTAATGATGTTTTTTTAAAACATGCACAAAGCAAAAAATATACTTTTTTGAAAAATTGTGCTTACTGTGCTTTCATGGGACACCTTTACTTTGTGGAATACTCTGTAGAACTGTTGCTGTTGATGGAAGAGAATTCAAGCCATGGGGAGACTTTGCACTCTGGAACTCCAATTCCCTTTGAATACTGTATAGCCATTGAGGTGAGACAGAGGCTGCAATGACACTTGCCACATTGTATCACACTGTCTAAAATATAGATTATACAGTATCTGACCCATTTGTCCCTCACAAATTACAAATCCAGTCTTAACATATCGTACACAGTATGTGTTAATATATATAGTCTTGTATATGGCTAATAAAATCTTATCTTCTTAATGACATTGCTTAAAATGACACCTGCTCTAGTCTGAGGAATAAAATGCAGGCTTTCGCTGGGGTTAGAATTTTGCACCTGGTTAATGGATTGGAGTTTTAATTATATCTAGGGTCATGTTTTGAATTTTTTTCCAGCAACAGGGTTGCACTGTGATGCAGTGTTTCATATTGCTTTAAAAATATTCATATTGCAGTGATGGGGACTTGGGTTCAGTTCCTGGAGTGTTATCTGTGTAGGGTTCATATCTCATAAAAATGACAGACTTGTTAAAACAATTATTTTCTGCATTTCTAGAAATTGCTGTAGTGATGATAAAAATAACATAAATGTTGAATTTTATTAAATGACAACATTAATTTATTCTTAAATATGTTCATTCATTATTTACAGAAGGAAACAAGATCATCTCAAATCATTTTACTACTTACAGTAAAAATTTAAAAAATCAAAGTCCTGGGTATCCTTGGTACTACAGTTCTTGCATAAAAATTCCAATGGTGTGCTATTTCAGACAGGCTACCCTGGTGGTTGCCATGGGTTACTTACTCATCTTTGCTGTGATCCTGTAATACAGTAAAAACCTCACAGTACTGTACTGTATATGATTAGACTGAAATGCCTATCAAATACAATAACAGAAATTAGGACAATAATAATTAAGTACTGGTCTGTGTATTTACATTTTTGTTACTGGAAACATGGCTCACTAAGAAAAGAAATTCCAGACCTCTTTAAAACAATGTAGTGTGTTTCTCTTAAGAGGCAGCTGACGTTGCAGTGTAACCACAGACGCCGGTGCAGTCAGTGCGGAAGACAGCCTAACCCGATTAAAAGCAAACTGAATGACAGTGTCTTTAGCCAATGAACACTACAAATATGGCCTCTGATGTCATAAATTTCTAATCAGAAACGAGGGAGGGATGTGGCAAGCGAACCAGCCCTAAAGGTTCTGAAGCTTGCAAAGTCTGAATTGACTAGCGGCTACAGAACTGCCAAGGGATGCTCTGAAAAAGCGGAAAGGGAAAACGCAAATCCTCAGAAAGATATCATCATGTTTGTCGGCAGAACAGGGAAATACATTTATTAAATATGCAAATAACACCAGTGGCCGTAAATATGCTAAGAATGGACATTAGGTTAACAAAGATTGTGTACCGTTAGGAAAGCTTGACTAGAAGACGTGCTTGGGACATACACTGATGATACTGGACTATTGCATTGGAGATCAGTATTGTTGGTTGACCCTTCAGTGTCTAGCTTTGAGAAAAAATTGCATTAAAGTTTGCTTTACGGATTAACCAGTCGCTTGTGCTGTGGTAAAATATGAAACGCACTCTACAATTGAGACATTCATTCGCCGTGGGAAAGTCTGGGTTCTTTTTCAAGAAGGAAGACGGAAGAATTTCAAAATCCTTATACATTTTGCAAAGCTTGGAGAAGCGTGTTACTGTGTGGAATGGAAGAATAGTGATCTAAATCAGACGTCTGGTCTTGCAATTAACAGCAATTCACTGAATATCAGTATTTTCGATTCTTTTTTATTTTTCGATCTGTATTCAAATTATTTCACAACATCAGACTGGTGGGTATGGTTCGGTTTTATCTCTGAGACACAGTTTGAATACGTCTGTCACACTGGCCTATCGGAAATATGCTAATGACAATATATTCCACTCAATAACGGGGAATACAGCCGCGGCACCAGACAAGGAATGTGCATGCTCCCTATTTTATTGCCCAAGGAGAACAAAGGAATCGGATTCGATTGACTTTTTGGTGTAATGCTTCACGTTCCGTACCAAAACAAAATACGTCTTCTCGGATTACGCTCGTGTCATCAATGAAAATGGTGGGATATTAAATTGGAAAAATAGGGTTATTTTGTATTTTGGAAATGTAATGTTTCATTACAAAAATAGTAATTTTAACATTTAGTCATCTTGCGTTCTTAAACGGCAGTTTTCTGAACATGAAAACATACATGAGCATACATGGTCCTACCTTTGAGCACATGCAGGCAATAAAAGAACCAAAAATACTGGGTTAAAGCAAAGCACAGAAGAAGGACAAAATACGTGTATAATTGTATTTACATTTTTAAAATACGTATACATTTACGCAGAACATGGAAAGGACAGATTAAGGAAATTGTTAAAACATTTTTTGTCATTCGTCGAGCTTCTTCTGGGTTCTAGCGTTATTGAAAGGAATTTATTGACAAAGCGGATGAAAATGACTTGAATTGTAATGCAATGGAAGGGTTAATGTATCTGACCACTGGCTCGAAGGTCTCCAGAACGTCGTGGTGTCCTCGAATCTACTGCGCCCTCATCCTTGGATCAGTGGTGCTGGTTTCCATGGCAACTACAAGCTCACCTGTAGAAGGTAAGTGGCTGTCCTGAAACTGCCCGGGATCTGTTTTCATTTACCGTATCTACAGTATGCCTAGTTTCTAAACCGTACCGGTGGAGGGCGGTGACTGATATGGAAGGCATTAAGGAAAAAATGCGGGGAAAACGTGTTAATAAATGCAAACGGTAGGAACAACATGAAATTTGTAATTTTGCAAACAGTTACAATATCATTACATACTGTAGATACAGTATGTAGATCTTTATATTTTATGCACACATTAAAGTTAGACCTCTAGTTTGTCTTCACTACATGTATCACTATTGGTCATGTTAACTCTATTTTTTGACCGGCAGAATGCGAGTTTTTCTCTCCCTGTATGCCATGTTCTCGGAAGTGGGTACAAATGTACATATGAAACGACTATCATTCCGTGTTAACACGTTCTCACTCTACCTGTCAAAGGGCAAGATCTGGTTATAACTGCATGCCATACTGTAAAATATGACAGTTACACCTTCTACAAGGCCTCCTGTAGCCTTGTACTGTAGTCTTGCCTTAATTCCATTAAAAATGTATCCGATGGATTACCTAGTACAGTGCTAAATGTGGGTTATATACATGTACAGAATGGTGCATCTGTTCTTCAGTGTACAGTAGGACGGAGCATTTACTCCATCTAAGTGTGTACAGGAGTTATATTTTTATTGCTTATCTTCAAAATTGTAATTCAATTGTGTGATAGTAGGTAAATGGTTTTGATGAATAAGAAAAAGTATAACTTAATCTCATAAATAATTGCAAATGCTTGATTTAGGCTTGAAATACATTATACATTTATACATTTTAGGTTACTTTGGTCTGCTATTCTAGGGCAGTTCATACATTTTTGAATGATAACATGCATCAGCAATTGTAAGGTGAGAAGTTGTATCAGATTTTTTTTGTTTTTTCTGTTATTTACTGCACTTTTGGTATTTTAATACATCTGTACACAAATAAAGGTATAAAACTATATGATAATGTCTAAACAAAAAGCAAACATGCAAAATAGTCTACAGGCATAATTTCAAAATGTCGTAAATTAGAAATGAGGCCTTGGTCTGATTTGAATTTAAAAATATATCAGTTTTTCTTGTATTCTGTTTCCTTTGATTGTAATCTGGTACACAAAAGCTTTAATCATTTTACCATTAGATTTTTTCAAATTAAGATGAGTAGGTTTTTTAATTCACTGTTAAACAAATAGCAGAAATGGAAAGAAACTGATTAAATCCCTTAGTGTTTCTGAAGACAAACAGTCATATTCCACATGTATAATATTTTAATCAGCAACACACTTTATTAGAGTTTTTTTTCAAATTCAAGAAGTTACTAAAACTATGGATTTATAATTTATACATATTTCTTGATAAAATACCATATACACATTTAACTTCTGTAGAAAGCATTGTAAATGCATCATTTCAGAATGTTAAAAAACTTGGAAATTTAAAAAATACAACTCCAGTATATTTAAGAAAAACAAACAAATATATATATATTACTTCTAGGTGTTTATTCATACGGATACAGATAAATGTATAAAAAACTATATATACTGTATATGCTATAACTCAGAATAAAAAAAGACAACTGCTTAACTGTTTTTGGATGCCATCTACCCAAGTTTTTTGTTTTTGTAGAATTGTTTCCTTACTGTTTAATATGACTTTAAAAAAATAAGGTGAAACTTTAGTTATGAAGTGCTCCTTTGTATTTATTTGCTTTTGTATCTAGTTTGTTTTTATGATAGCCTGAAATGTAGCCCTTTGACCTGCACAAATAACTTAAGTGGAAATGTCTTATAGTGGACATAGTCCTCTATAACAATTTGGTGCGACTAAAGATGCGTCTTAAGACCCTGACTCAACATTATCTTGATTGAATTATTGATACTCAAACATAACCATTGTCTAAAAGAAAGGGATGGATGTTGGCTGGAAAATAGGAAAAAATGGTGCCATCCAATGACATTTGTCTATGAATATGCTCATGATTAACAAAATGCTTGGGGGAAACTAAAGGACAATATTATGCCAAGCATATTTTAATATGTATGTATAGTGTATACATATATAAAAATAATATATTTGCAAAATCAAGCAAAACATCCTTTTGTGATATTTATATTTCCTTGCCTTCCTCAAAATATGTCAGAAAATGGAGGCATTTCTGGATTGGCTTTACATTTTTTGAGAATATGTTTTATATATGGAGATAAATACCAATTATAAAATATGTGAGAGCTTCTTAGTGATTAAAAGGAATACTTAAATGTTGTGTTAACCTGGAACAAGCTACCCAGCCATGTTGTTGAAGATGATACCCTGACTTCTTTCAGAAGCGACTGTAAGAGATCCAATTACCGTAGCTACTAAGAACGTAAGAAATAAAGAACTCTTCTTATGAGAACTTGCAGTTGATACGAAATTGTGCTAAGTGTCATGATAGAAACTGTATGTAGATAAACACCAAACCACTGTTATTTAAAAACACTTTAGGAAGAAACTCAGATGCAATGATATTGTCCTAAAATGGAAAAATTAATAGACTATGCAGTTAGTTCTAGATCAACTTTTTTGAGAAGGAATTGTCTGCTATTTCAAAACATAATAATAGCTTTCTTTGGTCTTTTCCTCCTTAATCCCAGTCTGTGTAACCCAAGACTGCCGTCCTTATTTAAATTAGTTTTAGTTAGTAAGCCTGCCTTCTGTCATTGTCTTTGCTAGATCTGTAAGACGTGCCAGTATTATCGTAATGTGCAAACTAACATTGTCATACACTATTAAAATAATATATTTTGACCCAGATGAGTCTTTTTTCGAAGACTAAAATATAAAATTTTCTTTTAAATTAAATGAGTTAAAAATACAGATCATATCCACTTCAGGAAATAACCAATCTCTAATAGTAGCATGCAAAAGTAACCACTTATTCTTACTGAAATTGCTTAATAATCTCTGATTCTTTCTCTTGTTACTTTTTAGGTTCTTAGTAATCCACAGAGCAGAAGCACTTTTTCCTTACTAAAGTTTTGACTCCTTGACAAGAATCACTCTGTACTTTTAGTGTGTATTATATTGTATATACACGGTGTAATTGTGGCAAAGGTAACTCCAGTCCCCCATGGCTTGAGCATTCTCTAATTTTTATTAGACTTCTGGCCTTCATTATGTAAGTATCTTCATAGGTTGCTAGAATACCTGTTAATCCTTCAGTCCCTCAACTGGGATGTCCATTCTTGAGATACATAATTAATAATATATATTAACCCTCCTCACACCTGAAGAAGGCTCCACGGCCGAAACCTTGTGTTTTCTTTCTTCTCTTTTCAGCATGGAATAAACCTGTCACTTGTTCCTTTCCAGCCTGTGCATGCTGACGCAGCTACCCACCTGAACTACTTAAAATATATTATACTATATGCTTGCCGTGATAGGCTTTGGCTCCCCCATGACCCTGTATTGGATGAAGGTGATAGAAAATGGATGCATGGATACTGCATAACAGTATGATTATACTGTTTATTGTGATTGGAAGTTGTAAAATATGTTGTTTTATGTCTTGTTAACACAAAGAGCAGAGATCCTCCTTTACGTGCTCAGTAATGAGGTCCCAGCATGGTTTTAATTAGAGAGCTGGCATTCACCCCTCTTCCCATTCTTGTTCTATGATATGGAGCACAGTCTATGTTTAAGCCTAAATGTCTGCTGAACTTAAAGTTTTAATAGTCAGAATGTAAACATATTTTAGTATATGTTTAGGTATTGTAATTGTATTTAGTAGTCATTCACTCTTAATGAGCCTGATTTTTTACTTCCCCTGGCAGATCTTGCAAAAAGATTTGAGTAATTTTTCGTTTTTTTCTCCTTTTTTCTTCCCATTTACATTTCACAGTCTCTAATGATGCTCAAAGAACACTTTGTTTGAATAAAATTTTTGCAGCAAATTTGTTTGAATTTGTGGTGTTAAAGTGCTTATTGTACATTCTTAGATTGCATTACATTCTCTCATACATGCTAACTAGCTGTTACAAAAAACTGGAGGCATCAACATTCAACCCTGCATAGATTATTTGTAGTTTATGGTATTTGTTGATTGTTGTGAAATACACATACAATTGTTTTACAATTTGCAAAGCGGTACAGACTTACACTTTGTGCACAAAATATAAAAAAAACAAAAAGCACTCAAAGTTGTATTTAAAACAAAGAAAACAGAATTTCGTTTACCTAGAACAGAGTAAGTACAGAAAACTGAGGTTATTGTTTAACAAGAAAAACGATCTTGTCAATGTGGTAGTGAATGCATACTGAGAGCCAAAGATACCCTGTCTTTTGTAGAGGCCTATTGTAGCCAACAGAGTCACACGCATATTCAGACACAAGTGCTATTCAGTAGATGTGCAGGGTCTTTCTCATTAATAGTACTATTGTTACACTTCTGACAACAATAAAAAGGCATTCAGGCTCAAGGCACAAATGATGTTTAAATATGTATCGAATTAAACTGAAAGCAGGGCCTTGTCTATTCATTGGCGTAAAAAAAATTAAAAATGTATTTTTCAGAAACTAGTGAAAAGAAAAATATTGAACATAAAACAAAGATAGGGGAAAATGATTGTTTTCTACATTATAAATAAGTTGGCTTCAGAAGGTGTAAAAGTAATTATACATATTTGTTATCATGAATAAGCTGTGAAACTCCAGGTACAGTACAGTATGTGTTTGGTTTGGCTGAATACAGTGTTCTAGTTTTCCAGTGCATTTTTAGGCCTGTATGTTATGGCTGTAAAATTCCTTAAAGCTTTAGGACTTTGAAGACCTGGTAGTTAAGACATGCCATTACAGTCTCTATTGGTTACAGCATATTGTAAACCTGTGTAATCCTAAATCAGAATTGAGGAACCAGCTTGAAAGCATGATCCACCAGTGATTTTAAAAGGTGGAACTGAATCTCTGTTAAGCTGTATGGAAACACTAGACACAAAT